TAATAATGACTTATTTTTTTATTTTGGGAAATTTTCATGATATGATAGATGGAGGATAGTGTTAGGGAATTAGTCAATTCACATAATTAACCGTAACAAAAATGACAGTACTGTTTCTGAAAAGGCCAACGAAAACTAGTTAGGGATTTGACACAACAAAGCTTAGATTTGCACCTAACTATTGACAGCATAGCTATTAAACACCTTTAAATTTTTAAAAGGTCAGCAGACTTATACCTGTCAAGAATAATAATAAACAGTCGGTATCTAAAATATTCTTTTTTGAAGGGTGACATAAAGATTACCACACGACCTTTAAATATATAGTTAGAACCTATAACCAAAGTAGATACAGACATATTCACCTTCGATTTAGCGCGAAACTTTTTGGTTAATTCATACCGTATAGACAAATAACGTTAACATTTTCTGTGCAGTTCTATTATATTGACTTTATTATAAAGTCTAGATCAGATTCACTAAAATAACGAGAGTTTTGTCTTACAGACGGCACCTTCGATAACATTTAGAGAAGGAGTTCACGAGGACAATTTTCCGAGAACTTCTAGAGCTCGATTCGTTGAAATCACTACTGACTACTCACTGATGCTAACGAGCACATTTCTTTAAGCCGTGTTAATTTACCCCCTATAATATCATTTCTTTTTTTACGCCCCTGGGTTTTCTCGTCTATAAGATGAGGCAGATGGACAACAGTGGCAGGCTTGAAAGCGCTATAATTACAAATTAAGCGAAAACGACGGATATGAAGGAAGCTTTAGAAAAAATTTCGTAAAATAAGCCTAGGAACAGATTGAAGGACGACTGAGTGTCATCCGTTTGTTTTATAAATATACAAATTATGTCTTTTAACTTCCATTGTATAGATGTTTTGTTTGGATTAGAAATTATAAAAAAAGAGTAAAAATAAACAATGTCACAATTTAATTCAGATCTTAAACAGGAGGTGCTCATAGTGTGATCATTGATGTTAAAAGATAATAAAGTAGTGATTTTTTAAAAAATTATACACTTTATTAGGTTGTTGCTGTTCTTTCAATTGAATAGGAAAAAACATTCTTTATGAAGTTCATCAATGAAGTAGCCTCATTGTAAAACCCTAATTTAGCTAATAACCCTAGCTAATTTAAAACAGCCCACCGCGCAAAAAAGGCTTATGAGGCTCGGGCGTTATAAACGGAGTTTAAGCCGGAGACGTAGCATTCTCAAATGCATCATTTCTTCACTCAGGTCATTCTGTTTTTTTTTTCTGATTTAAATACATTGTCCTTTATTTCAAAGAAAGATCTGAATTTATGCGCGAAAGCATTGATTTCTGCCTATTGCTCCGGCCCCTTTTTTTCCTACAGGTAGCTCAGCTGGCCGATCAAGCGCATTTAGCTTATGTCACTATCTTTACAGCCCACAAAAGTGCATCTGTTGACATCTTTCTTTTACATGAGTCTGCACTCCACGGGCTCTCCTGTTGTGCCCGTACACAGACATCCATACTGGCCCATTAAGACTTAACACATTTTTGCACAGCAGTAGCGATTCGCTTATCATTTTTTACTGTACGCGCTCGATAGTATTGAACTTATATGCTAGCTTAAGTCCAAATGCCCCACGACACAACATTCTACTTATAGGAGTCTAGAACGCTGAGTAAACCTTAATAAAATTGTCCGCACCGGTTCAATGTGACCATACTGTATTGAAATGGAAACCGCACGTAAAGGCAGAACACATCCGATAGTCTTCCGCCTGTCTGATTCTAATTGCTCTGTTGTTCGGAAGAACTTTCGGTATGGTAGAAGGAGGACAACCGATGATTTGATTAAGGAGATGTTCGAACCGAAAAAAGCTGCTACCAGCACACACAAAAGGCAGACTGCCAACTACTGAGATGCTTCACTTGTACTATAGTTAAGGGAACCGGCTTCCGGCCCACTGCGAAACTAGCAGCTTTACAAGAAGAGTACAAGAGCCACATGAGCGATTAGGCCTCACGATGGCCAGGGAACTTCTCCCATTACGCTCGGTTATATTGTGTGTTTTGGTCGATACTAGGAGGTAACCACTCAGTCGCGAAAATCGCGGTACTAATAGGGAAAACAAAAAAGTTCTAGGCAGGCGATGACGCGCAAAGACCTGCCGTCAGAGAATACGAAACGCACTCAGTTGTCGACCGACAGAGACGGGAAATACGGTTGCTGAGCAGAGAGACTGGTGTACTTTCAAGTATGCCTCTTTTTAAAAAGAGGCATACCTGAAGTCGTTTGCATATATGTCCTAAATAATGAATATGCCTGGCTTGAGTTTACTGTGTAATCATCATTGTGGGTTAGTAATTATTGCTAGCATATTATTTTGTTCAAGCCGTTAATTCTTCAACATCGCATGTGTCTAACCTTCTGGCCTATGGAAGACTGGAAACAAAACGAACGGTGGGACACCAATTTTTCGGTTAAAAAAGGTACTAATAGACATTCTTTTGTGATAGAGCTCAAAATTGCTTCAATTCTTCGTGTTCGGTTCCATAAGAACGAAATGTCAGTCGGTTGTTATGTTCGAACGGCGATGTGACGGCAAATGAACACTTAATTTGCTTAATTTGTACTTCAGTATCCAATACGATGTATTTTGTCATAAAAAAAACTTGGAGGCACGTCACCAGGTGGACTTTTTTTAAAAGTTTTTTATATCTTAATACAAAAAGTTTCCTTATAGGAAGAACGATAAGGCTTGTAGCAAGAGTATTGAATACATCTTTTGGATATGAGGATTTTGAAAACATTTTGTTGATTCCTATCGTACTAACTTTAGTGGACCGATTATGTATAATGAATAAACACCTTTTGTTTTACTTTCTTTGCTTTACGTAAACGTGGATACGTTACTTCTTGTTACCAGTCGCAGTTCTGTGCAGAAGCCTGTCATTGTGGCTGCGTATTTTGCGTATTGCTAGGCAAAATGAGAGTCATGGTAAACCTTATTTCCTCGTCCACTTCACCCAGTCTGTGATGCACCCAGCCTTCCTAATTCCTGATAGAGTTCCATAAATTAACCCGGGGTTTTCATCGATCGATCTTGAATGGCTGAGCGGAATTGGGTGCATTCTGTAGGTAAGAGGTTCCATCTACGAATTTAGCAAACCCTTTCTAGCAGTCCCCGCTAAAGCTCTCGCTATATACGGCATAAGTATCTCTCTCGCTGCTTTGGCAGCTGTTCAACTCAGAAACAGGCGAAGCGAAGTAGGTGTTACAGCTGTATGTAGTTTGGCGTTGTCATGGTGGAAGACGGCGCTTTTTTTTTCTTGTCACTAATCCTTGTCGATTTTTTCAATGGTCTATCGAGACCTTGTTAGTTGCTGACAGTACTGGACAAAATCAATCGCTTCGCCAGGCAACAGAAACCTAAAACGCACAGTTCCTTCTCAACCTTACCATAGCATTACCTTCTTTCGCGTCCGTCTAAATTGTTCCACGTACTGCGGAGTACACGTTCCTACTTTTTTCTTCTGTTTACACATTTCTTGCGTATGGGATCTACGTTCGTAATTAGGTTTTTTTTTTTTTTTTTTTTTTTTTTATAGAAAAAGGCTAAAAAATGGCCACATTTTGGTAAAATTTCATCGATCTACTAAATTACTTTGCGCTAATATATGTAGCACCTACAGTTTTTTTTTTTTTTTTATCATAGACAGCTCTTTTCAAATAGTTTAAAACTGTTTGGTAGTGGATTTTTTGGCTCCTTGGCGATGTTATAGCTACTCACACGTGGATCTTTCGCAACAATTGTATCATTTTTTTTACACAATTTTTCTATTACTAGGCAGAGGAAGGCAGGACATTGAAATGTCCAGAACGAAAAAGACAAAACCATTTATGGGCCGTTTGGTGTTAGGAGACATTTTGGCGATAAAAAAACACAAAAATTCACATATCTGGGCAGCATTATGATAAACGTGACAGGGTAATGGGATTTATTCACCTCCAAGCCACTCTATCCTAAGTCTAAATACAGTCATTCAGAAAACCTTAGCACACCTACTGCCGTAAAATCTTAACTTTGAACTTACACCAACACTGACCCGATGCGATTTATGTTGACCGAACGATGTGACTGACATCTAGTTAAACAAACAGTCGACGCTTTTTGGTAACTCAATAGAGACGGATAAAATTCATTTTAGGGAGTATCGAGTGTCTCCTATCCGACTTGCTATTGTTGTCCGAGGACCTGCGCCGTCGCTGTGAGTTCCCCATTAACGGAAGTCCTTAGAACCAACCTTGAAAATTGTGAGTGAAGATCGGTGGAAGTTTTTTACATCGGATCCGATGAGGAACCAGTGAACCGGCTAAAGACTCGCCTTACCATACATGGGTTTTAGTATTAACTCTGCAGGAAACCGAGCTTCCACGAGCCTGACTATATATATATATACATATATATAGGTATTTCAAATACCGGGCGGATTGTTGATAAATATCAGCCGCTCATTTCGGGACACTTAACGAATCTCTTAAATTAGTTTTATTCATTCAAAGGAACTCGTGTGACCTACACGCCGAAGAGTTTTTTAAAGATGCTAGTTGCTCACCCCTATATTGGTATACTGTATCGTTGACCTTTATGTATGAAGTTTTAGACTGCTACCAGCGAAGGTAAATGAATGAACTTTGATAAAATCCGTTTTTGTGCTGTATCAACTGAGTTAATTATGTATTATACAGCTTTTCCATAATAGCGGGTCTATTGGTAAGCCGGCAACGAGTTCATCTCGAAGTTAGGCCATTTTTTCTGCGACCAACGATAAAACCTTGCATGAATTAGCGTGCGATCCTGTTGTGGCAGTTATAGTGTCAGCTGGATTCCTGTATTCTCTAGCAATGTGAGCAAAATAAGTACTTCGTTTTATGGTTTCCATACAATAACGAAATGGAAAATCAAAAACATAAAAAGTCAAGCTTAATATTGAGACCGAATTAGAAGTGTGTCACGGTAATGACTCTGGCGAGCACATCGCTTCAAGTCTATGCCTATCGTAAGTCTGAAAGTTATTCAACTCTAAAATGATTTCCAGCCCATTAAATTTTTGGCATATGCAGGAACCGCTTCTAACAAGGTATAATTGGACCTGCAGTAATGTGTAATGGATAAGTTGCAAAGCCAGCATTTAACAGTAGTACAAAGTATCCAGAATTAACATACACATAGTGAAATGGATCTAGTTAGTAAATTAGATAAGTTACTCATTGTTATTTCACACCATGTGGAACCTGTGTCTAAAGATCATTGGACGCCAATTATAATATTAGTTAGTTAATGATCAAAGACAATTACTAGGCCCAGTTTTTGCCTGGAGTAAAGCTTTTATCCACCCGTTTATTGCTTTATTATGAAGAGTTTGAAAGAAGCGTGTACTGAATAAGTAAACAAATCTTGTTTGTCCGCTTCTGAACTCCGCGAGGAAAGTCACTAGAGGTGTCATTAAATGCTCTTCTGTCTAATACCGTGTAAAATTATATACTTGTCATCTTAGCCGTATTCATTAAACATATATAGTTGGAAACAATGTACATTAGTTACCGCTTTTCCTCTTCCGTGGACTATTTAAGTTACGAGGCCTATACGCAGATTAATGTGAATTATAATAGCGTCAGTGTTATCCTGCAGTGCTCTAAAGATAGAAGAGTAACTAAAGCTAACTCAACCTACCAGGGTAGTAGCGTGGGCTGCTACCCCCGAGAGCTAAACCATAGTGCCGTTCCCGGATTCAATAGCGCGAAAACACAATTTGACGCAAGAGTTGCCAATAAAGTATGTTTTCATTTTGTTTAGCGGTTACTCTTCAATGTTGATTATGTAGACTTCCTTTTTTTTTTAGATTTGTCGTGCTTAAAATAGCTTCTTGGCACTACGTCGTGTGTGTATTTCAAATCAACATGGAAGTACAGAACGCGGTGCACTGCGAAGCAAGACATACGGAAGTCGCTCATGACAAAATGTATAAATGCGTATATCAACTTGAAAAGACAAAGGTATTGGCTAGCAGTCGAAAGTACTCCCTGAGATCTCTCGTTGATTTGTTGGAATTACGATGTCTATAATTTATTTATTTAATACAGTATTAGGTACAGCCAATTTCCAAAGCGTGGGACTTACTCTGAGTATGCGTATCTTACGTTCATCGATTAGTAATTTAAGCTACAATGGTGGACGATAGAAGTCTACAAACATATTCCGCATTAAGTCTTTGTCCCTTTTTCACTGATTCAAACAAACTTTCTCAGAAGGAGCACGTCAAAGCTATCCATTCGCAACGCCATCTTTCGTTGGGACCGACGTGGTAACTAGACCCAGAGAACTTTGACTAATGATTGATGATAACGATTCGCGTACCTTGATTATTCTCGTTTTCGAACTAGGCTGCTGTATCACGGAGTGGCCTTCTTCAGCACAGAGTTTAGTATTAGGACTATTTTGTGAATGATTTCAACTGGTGATGGCTACAAACAATATTTGACTACTAAACAAGACTGCCAAAGTACGACCGTAATCACTTTCAAAATGAGGTTGATTCACGCAATTTGCTCTGGGAGTAGTCGAAGGGCTCGCATTTACCACTTTCTAGCAGCCCAAGTTGGTTTTTCAAGGTTTAACTAGTAAGGAGGGTGCATTCTGTTAACGAAAATTTCACCCGGTTAGCCTGGTATAACATACGTCATGCTGATACATTAGTAGTTCTACGCTCGTACAAGTACCATGGATCTTCACGAGAATGAACAGGGCATCCGTTCACTGGTACATAATAGGACGTAATAATAACAATACCCGATATCCAAGTATACTTCTTGTCTACCGAAGCAGCGTGATACATTTATCTTCCTGATTTCTTCCGTACTGGTGAATTCCGTTTCCCTGCACGTCGCGCTAACAATAATAAAAAGCTTGGTCTACTACTATTTAGCTCAAATAAAAAAGATTCTCCGACACTTAGTATTGTTTTCTATTTCTCATTAATCATGTCCATTAGGTGTCCATGCCCACGCTTTCAAAATAAAGTTTTCTGTCTCCTTGTCCTCTCAGTTGTTGCTTTTAATAGTGCTGTATTATGAATGCAATGTCAAGTTGAAAAAAAAACGCCTCCAAAATGGACGCCTAAGGTAAAGGAAGAGGGCATTTAAACACCTCCTATGTTATACCCTATTGAAGTTAAAACGCTGCGGAAACAGATCAGGGCATTTGTCTTATGTGCGCTAGCGACGCTACCCCTAAATGGCCTGCCAAGGTTGGAAACGGTATAAAGATTGCTCCTACGTTGGCCGACTATCTGAGTTTGACGGTACGCGTTTGTAGGCATCTTTGAACGAACGCGGCCGACAAATAAGATGGGCATTGGCCGAAAAGATAGGCTGCAGCCACACCACGGTTGCTAAACCTATTAAATCTCTTGCGTTCACACAGAGACTTCAAGACTGGGCAGTTCATGACATCTATGAATCCAGCAAGGAGTCACAGCTTAATGCTAGAAGCGCTACGAGGACATAATAACCGATTTTGCACAGAACTGCCGCCTGTGATGAGTAGTGGTTTCTGCATGCTAACATGAAACACTAATTCGAATGCGTGACTTTAGAAAAGAAGTGAGGGTTTAGGGCTTAATCAGCTCCTCGTTCGAGGAAGGCTATTTTTTTACGTTTGGTGAAACTGCAAGGGGCTGATTCACTAGGAATAATTTTTCACGACTTGATCGACATGTTTATTTGACCCAATTTTATAGAGTCAACCAGCCTATTCAAAGGGGAAGACCTGACAACAGAGATCAGGTCATATTGCTTCATGACAACGCGAAGCCATATAAACATCATCTAAAATGTGTTCATCGACCTCGAGTGAATAGACGTCTTGCGTACCCCATATTCTACGGAGCTAACGTTGTCTAACGTACTGGCATATTAGCGTCTCCGTGACGGAGCCGTAAAATAGAATCTATAGCATAAATATATTAAGCGGTACATGAAGCCCAGTCAACACAAGTTGACGGATCGCAAATATCTGCTCACACAATCTCTTAACGCGTACAAAAACTGGTGGGCAGAAACGACGACCTTCACTATTACATCGGCGACAATCATTTCAAGTAGGCATTAAATTCAACCTTAGCCACCCTCTATTTTATATTTCTGATATTGGTAGAGCCATAATAATCATACATTAGTGATCTCGCATAAAACTTCTTGAGTTTTTATTTTTTTCTTTTTGAGACAAATGAGTGTCGTATTTTCAATTCTTATCTATATGTGTGGATTGGTCTAATGTGGATTGCTACTGAAGATCCTTCTGATAGTTACTCAGTGCCTATTAAGAATCTACGTTAAATTAATGTTAAATACGCGGAAGGGCTGACGGTTTTAGCAATAAGTGATAAAAATGTGGCACTTCGTGTAGCGGGACGTCTGTGACGCTAATAAATGCCCCAGTGCGAACGGCGGCTACCGACATCCTGACGTATTGAGAAAGCGTGAACGAAAATCTTAGTTACATGCTGCTAGAAAAAAAGTTAGCAAGGGGACTGCACGTGACCTATTTTTCAGTCATTTTAAGAGGTGAACTTTTTATGTGTGTTCCGAAAGGCATTCTCGTATTCCGGTAGCCTACGTAGTAGACAGCTAAGTTGAGGCTGTAAATAACCTAAATTCGATGGCTGTAAACATGCTGACCAAGTGTAAGAATTTATATAAAGTATATCAATTTTTTCACATTATATAAATAAGCAAAAGAAAAATAATAGTAATTATAATGCCAAGACAAAGCTCTATAAAAATGGTAAGCGCGTCAAGTGGGTAACCCATTAGATCAATAGACCAAGGAGCAAAAGCGATGGGACGAAGTTATATACCGCTATCTGCTCGACCCTTCAAGCAACTAGTGAATCCGATTTAGTAACTATTCGGCTGAAGACGATTTGTTTGGCATCGCAACTGTGTGACCTGACAGATTTGGCCTGATCTTCCCTGAGGAATATCTGGTTCCAAGCAACGCCGGCCACTTAACGGACTTATACCGGCCATCTTTGAGGGAAAGCCAGTACGGCGACGGACTGGAGATAAATTTTATCGACAGTGACCAGGTCGCATGAAGCTGATTGAGGGTCGACGTAACCCATCCATAACACCTCGGGCAACGGATTTAAAGCGATCGGTATAAAGTTACATTTATCTGTCCACAGCCGCTCTTTGGCGAAGCCAATTTTTAGTGTTTAAAATCCTTTCAAGGTTTAACATCGTACACCATGATATCAACTATGTTTTTCGTTTGCCTACAAGTTAAATATGTTTAAAAGACAAAAAAAAAAAGTTTTAGAAGCATAGATGTTTGCACGAGATTGCTAAATATCGCCGTAATGTGCCGAGAGGAGAGGTCACTTGTTTGATAGATTTCTTCGTAAACACCCATAGTAGACGTTTGCTAAGAGTCTGAATTCTTAAGGATGCCAAGAAATTAGGGCTTTGACAAATTATGTTAATTAGAAACTAATTTTCCGCATTACGAGAATAGGGCTCCACGTTGTTTGTCGTTCTGTATGCCTCCCTTCTTATTTCTTTTGGATATTAAATTAAAGCGTGCAGCACGACGCTTGTCGACACTGGTAGGAAGACACAGCTATTACCTGGACGTCACGGCACTGGTAATGGATGATACTCTGCAGGAAGTCGTAAACAGCTAGCGTGAATTTTAGCACGTTCGCATGTCCTAATCCAAAACAATTCCGAATCTCATTATTACAGGGGGGAGTAATGTAACTGCGTGAATCATTTGAGGGAGCGGTCGACGCTCGATCAACAAGTTACTAACTGTTGATTCTTCACTACGCTTTCTAAATAGCTATGAAAAATAGACGTATCCTATAGATAGAAATTAGGATTGGACGCAGAAGACTATCTGATTACGCCCAATCGGTGGCTGTTATTATTGGCTTGTCATGCAAACAATAGTCCTCTAAGCATCAATGATAATTACGTTTTTTTTTTATTTACTGATAATTGTACGAATACGATTGTTATTCTAGCGATACGAGCTGCGAACATTTTTATAGCATTGATGATTATTATTTCTACGATGTAATTGTTGCGCATGTATTCTGAATGCACCGTACAATTTTTCGTCAAGATGGAGCCAACACACGTGTTTTTTTTTTTTCTTTCACAGGCCAGTCCTGTAAGAGCCACTGCTTCCGATTGGCCTTACTTACATCAGTTTTGACCTTTATGTGACTCTGAACAGTCGGTTTTAAATGAATTAATTAGCAGATATATAAGAAGACTAACCCTTTGGTTAACAGTGTTCGACATAAATTTTCCGTATACTTTGTGCTCGATTTATGTCAATATTATTTGTTCCATGTTGAACGGTTGTACCATTCTACTTCACTTGCTTGAACGCATGGTTAGCATAGAATTTGATTTCTCGATGCGCAGACAATATTAGCTAACAGGTCTCTGGATCCTTTATATTATGTAAATCGGTTTCAGAAGGGCATATTTATGCAGACCAATGTGTGTCCGGTTAAATGATCGACATCGTCTAAGCGAAAAACAAAACATGCAAGTACACAAAAACACTATAATTAACATGTATAGCCTACAGTAATCAAAAACTACATCGCCGGGGTCGGCGGTTATAAATAGACGTCAACTGCGACATCTCTAGTTCTGTCTCGCTAATGATATGGAATGTCGCTATTTAGCCTCTAAAAATTTTCAAAGCCGATAGTTCTCAACCTAGTTATTTTTATCGCCGCGCAAATTTGAATGTCAAGTCGCAGTTCGAAGATAGATGGCAATCTAAACTTCAAAACGAGACTTTTTCCAGGTTGACCCTTCTAGATCAGATGATGTAAAAACAACGCGTATATAATACGCCAACATTTCTCTGTTCAGTCACAAAGGATCGTAATTTACACATCCACAAATTGTTCGAAGTAATAATAGTACCTCCGATTAAGAATAATTCAGGAACAGTATAAGGTTCGTTTGGTGGCGTGCTTCTTCGAAAGTATTATCTTGCAACAACATGAACCCCTAAAACAATACTTAAAAGTAACAAAGAAAAAGCATACAATTTTCGACTGATTACGACGTACCGTATCGCATAGTTAAAGTTGTAAGGAACGACGAGTTTGCTTTCAAAGCATTTTGGTTCTGCTCTTTTTTTGAGACAACCGGTGCCTGCTAAATAGGCTTTCCTGTTTTTGTTTTTTTAGCATGCCACATTTGAGTGAACTGCTTTCAAAGCCATATCTAGGACGTCATCACAGCTTGCTTTTCTCAATTAAGCCTAATTATAGCTGAAAAGAGCTAAACAGCTCAAAATTTGACAAAAACATGTGTCGCTCCTGTCCGAGTAACTGGTATCTTGAAGACAACTAAATCCACTCTTATCGTTAAAACATTAATCACAGTTATTTTTATGATGCCATTTGGATTTCATACTGTTAAATATGATACAACACATTGGGTCACTAATCAAAAACTTTTTCCGTTTGTAAATCCCTTCTAGTATTATGCCTACGCTTAAATTATCTATAGTGTACAATAGTTTTACTGTAATAGAAACTAACTGATAACGATGAACATCCAGTCATCGTTGGTTTGTGTTATATTGTTGGCAAGCGGTTGTTATCGCATTTCATGGATTTGTTGGAGCAACCTTTATAAGTCCAGCACTCTAAACCTACACTATGTAAACCTTTAACTAATGATTAGTTGTATCGATCAGGTGATTCCGAGGGCTTGTTAACAAAGTAAGCACTAAGCTTAAACGAGTTACTTTCCGAGTCTCCTCCCTCCACGAAGCACTATATAATTATAAAAATTCAAATCGATCGACCAAGTATAATCCACAGATAATAGTAATCCATAATT